AAATAAAATAAAAATTCAATTTACTTTCTCGTAACTGTGAAATGGATAAAATTAAAAATAAAAGTAGAATATGAGGAAGGACAGTGTGAAATGGTCCAAAGATTTCTTGTCAGCAGAGGGGAATCGGGAGCGGTGTGGAGCATGCCGCAAGTGGGGGATTGCAGATCTATTACAGGCTGCAGGCATCAGTTACTTGACTCTTTTGAAGTGAAAAGGATAAAAGAAAACAAAACAAAAAACGAATAATAAAATAAAATAATATTAGGAAAAAAAGAAAATAGAAAAAAAAGAAATAATAACCATAATAGCAAATATACTACTATAGTCTACTACTACTACTACTACTACTACTACTACTACTGGTACTACTAAGGGAATTTAACTTCGGTGTACCTGGCTGCAATTTCGGCGTTTTCTGAACCGAAATTGTCAGGTCCTATCGGAGGGAACCTGGTAAGCCCTGACGGTATTGGTTTTAAAACGTCGAAATTGTGACCAGGGACGTCTTTTTTTTTTTTTTTTTTTTTGGGCGAAACAAAATTTGTGGCGGACGTTAAAAGTTACATGCGCAAAAGGTTAATAATGAGGAGGAAAACAAAAAAGAAGAAAGGAAGACAGAGAAGAGAAAGGATGAAAAAGAAGAAAAGGAAGAAAAATAAGAAAAAGAAGAAAAAGAGGAGAGACCCACGCTGTCCACGACAGCCGCTGAATCCGGAGAAAGGCGGTAGGGCAGCCAACGGTGAGATGACTACCGGCAGAGATAACGGAATCATCGTTTCTGTTAATGACCGATCGGTTCTAAACGGGGAAAGGCGTTAGGGCAATTTCGAGATGACTATCGGTAGAAATAACGGTGACGACCACACAAATAAGTAACTGACAAACGCACTGGCCTTGACGTTCCGGGGAATTTCGAGATCATCCATCGACCACCAACCACATATTATTTATTTATTTTTATGAAGCAATTTCGGATACCGTTATTGGGGGGGGGCTGCAGGCGAGCAGATGGCGGTGAATTCATCGAGAGAGGGGGGGGGGGGGGGGGGAGGTGGAGAAGGGGCCGGGGGGGAAGGGGGGGCGAGAAGGTGTCGCTCCTCTTCTTATGGTGTGCTGCAGACGAAACGAATATTCCTCGGTCGCAGGCCGTCAAATTATTTTTATTTTTATTTTTACGTGGTGTGATGGCATCGGGCGGGCAGTGGTTATGATTGGCTTGGCGCGCTTTGAACTTTCTTTGTTTCCCTTTCTCTGTTTTTTTTTTGGTTGTGTTTTTTTGCCACGTTATTTTTATGGCGCTATGTCGTCATACACACAACTCACACGAGTCGACGTGTCACGACGATTGTCGTGCGGACCCGTATCGTGATCAGCACGGAGGGGGAAGTTTCCCAGCAGTTTCATGGCCGTATCATGATGAGCACGGAGGCTGGGCGTTGTGGTGGGAATCTCAATCAGTGCTGATGACTGGGCGCTGACGTGGCAATCATCGGTGTGTCGATTACTCGACGGGCTAATTGGTGGTCCCCACGACAAGCTATACGAGGCGACGGGGCGAACTTTCCCCGAAGTTTCATGACAGTGACGTTGAAATGACTTGACGGGCTAATTGATCGTAATCAGGGCTGATGACTGGGCGCTGACGTGGCAATCATCGGTGTGTCGATTACTCGACGGGCTAATTGGTGGTCCCCGCGACAAGCTATACGACGCGACGGGGCGAAGTTTCCCCGAAGTTTCATGACAGTGACGTTGACACGACTTGACGGGCCAATTTACGATCCCCGCGACAAGCTGTACGAGGCGACTGGGTGACGTGTCCGAAGTTTCAACGAAGTTTCGAGGAAGGTTCGACGGACGAAGTTTCATGGCAGTGACGCTGCTGCTGGCTAATTGATGATCCCCACGACAAGCTATATACGAGGCGACAAGGCGACGTGGAGATTTCATTGAAGTTTCATGGAAGGGACGTTGCTGGCTAATTGATGATCCCCACGAGAAGCTACATGAGGCGAGGGGTTGACGTGTCCGATGTTCCTCCGAAGTTTCCCCGAAGTTTCTCCGAAGTTTTGTGGCAGTGACGTTGCTGCTGGCTAACTGATGATCCCCACGACAAGCTATATATGAGGCGACGGGGCGACGTGGAAACTTCATTGAAGTTTCATGGCAGTGACGTGGCTGGCTAATTGATGCGCCCCACGACGAGCTACACGAGGCGAGGGGGTGACGTGTCCGAAGTTTCTCCGAAGTTTCGTGGCAGTGATGTTGCTGTGACGTGTCATTGTGACATATCGACGAGGACACACGTCACAGCATCGTCCCTGCCATGAAACTTCGGAGAAACTTCGGTCACAACATAATTGTGAACTGAACGTCTCATCGTTGACGTGGCAGGCAATAATTCTGGCGCGCTGTGACACGTGTCATTTGAGAATGCACGTGGACGTGGCGAAATCCCGACGTGACGTGGCAATGATTTTGGCGCGCTGTGGCACGTAGACTTTGAGAATGACACGTGGACATGGCAGAATCTCGATGTGACGTGGCAATGATTTTGGCGCGCTGTGGCATGTGGACTTTGAGAATGACACGTGGACGTGGCAGAATCCCGATGTGACGTGGCGATCATCGACAATGATAATCTGACGACCTTGATGAGGCGCCGAGATGACGTGGCTCACCGCAACAACGTCGTTCTGAGTGGATGGATGGACACGTAGAAAGACGACACGTGGGTTATTGATCGAACAGGTTGGTGGGGGGGCGATGGACATAAGGAGAGGATGGATGACACGTGGAACCTCATTGCGACGAGAGACGACGGAGCACATTTGATGGCAGTGACGTCGTTTTTAGAGGATGGCCACATGGAATGAATGACGACACGTCGATAATTAATCTGACATGTTGATAGTCGGGACACGGGGAGAGGAGGACGCGTGGACCTTCACTGCAGATGATCGATGATGCCGATCATCGCTGACGTGGCAACCATTGATATCGGTGATCGGATGGCTTTGATGAGGCCACGTGATGTGACGACGGGCCAATTTCATGGCAGTGGCGCCGTGTCGATTATGGATCTCAAGCGTTGATAGGTGAGTGGCATTCTTAGCTCAACGACCTTCTATGTTGAAGGTCACAGGTTCAAATCCTGTAGGATGCTAAATTCTTTGGGAGGGTCGCCGAGTGGGTTAAAGCGGCACGTGCAGAGGATGACATGTGGACCTTTTCAGTACGGAGGACTGTGTGTTGACGTGGCAGACGTTGACCTGGCAATCATCGGTAACGATCACTTGATAGCTATATGGATGCTCCTCTCTGTCACGCTACAAGCCCACATACACGGGGGTGGGGGCAGCCGCCGCTCAACCTACATCCACGTGGGCGGCCTTGTACGCAAGAGGTTCTGAACAGGGGGAGTTGTAAGGAAGATGATATAAAAAAACGAATTCATTCTTTTTTCTTCTTTTTTTCGGTGCGCCTTGGCTGTGGAATGCATCATCTATGCCATAGCCATTATCAATCTATTGCGACTGCCGCCGTCTGTCCTGTAGGGTGTCCAACATTTCCTCATTGTACACATCCCTATCACCCAGATATACGTTGTCCCTATTGTGCCCAAGGACGCTATCAGAACTGTATGATGCCGCACTGTGATGAATGTCCTGCCGTGTTTTTGACATGTGGACAACACGTCCTCTGTCAGGACTGTTTTGATGGGATGGTTCGTGCTAGCCGTCCTGCAG